CAAATGACCAAATTCTACAATTAAAAGGAAAACAAAACCTTAAAGGAAAAGTAAACACAATCCTTATAAGACAAGGAAAAGACTTGGTCAACAACTCCCTAGATTCTAGCATTGCAATCCTCCCTCACATGGCTTGTGTTCACACCTGATATTCCTTTCACACTTGTATTCCTTTCACACCTTGTGTTCACACCATGGGAGATCTTCCTTCCTTCTACCAAACTCATCTTCTCTTCATTCTAGTCCATAAATCGTAGCAATGAGATGGACTTTCCTTCTAGCAAGTCCACGTCCATAAAGAATGATCACATTTGATCCTTGTATCGTCGTACTCGGACCTTCATCTTTGGACCACGAGAATTATATATTCTGCCAATTGATTTCATATCAACAAACTCGTAGGCCTTGCTTGCAAATACCTTTTCTTCCACCTTGAATGCTTCCAAGCTCTCTTTAAACCTCTTAAATCGTCTCTTGAACCATGGTCCATGTAGATATCTAGTTTGAGCTCGAGTAATGTCATGCGGGGTGAGCGGGGTCGCATCAAAAGAACACTTCACATTTCTCAGGGTTACATTGCAACCCCGAGAGTTGATAGAACCTATCCAAGACAGATCGAACTCCAGATAAAGCCCTTGCTGAACCTTCAAGAAATATTAGAAGATCACCGGCGAAGCAGAGGTGAGTGAGGTCAACTCTTTTGCATTGTGGATGGAAAGGGATCACATTAGAGGCTCCAGCTTGATTTAAAAGACCCTTAAGTGGTTCCATATCGATGGTGAAGAGGTAAGGGGATAGATGATCCCCCTGCCTGACCCTTTTTGCATATTGAAAGAAACCAAAAAGACTTCCATGTATCGAAATACTGAAGAACGCAGAGTTCAGACAGACCAGAATCCAATCGAGAAAAAGCTGTGGGAACCCATATGGCTCATAACACAGGTAAGATACTCCCAGTTCACTGAGTCGAAAGCTTTCTTAAGATCTATCTTAACTGCACACTTGGAAGACAACTGCATTCTATTGTAATTCTGCACTACTTCTTGGGCCATTTGAATATTTTGAAAAATGCTTCTTTCTTGGATAAACGCAGACTGATTCCTACTTATTACTGAAGGGAGAATAGTTCTAATCCTATTGGCCAGGACCTTTGCAACAATTTTGTATAATATGTTGATGCAGGCAATAGGTCTATAAGCATTGAGGTTATCAGCGTTGGGAGACTTTGGGATTAAAGTAAGAGATGCTGAGTTCATACCTCGAGGGAGGGTTTTGTCATGAAAAAAGTGATGCACTCCTTCAATGATATCAGAGCTCACAATCCCCCAGTTTCTTTGAAAGAAACATGTTGTCCATCCGTCTGGCCCAGGGGCCTTTGAACCATCAATCGCGAATAAAGCATCTTTGATCTCTTGCCCCGTGACTAGAATGCAAAGTGAATCCTAATGCTCCTGACTTAGAGTGCTGAGCAAGCAATCTTGAATGATCTCTCTATCCACTTTGACTTCACTATTGATAATGCCAAACAGACCCTTGTAATATGAAACTGCTTCACCAGCAATGTCCTGTGTATAAGTTAACTCCTTCACATCATTTATAATAATCTTCCTGATCTTCTTGCGAGCAGCACGGATAATGGTAGACTTATAGAAGAATCCTGAGTTCTGATCCCCCAAGGTGAGCCACCTAATTCTTGATTTTTGTCTGTAGAAAGCCTCCTCCATTTTGACCAGATCGGCATAAGCCTAAATAGCCTCACTCATTTCTAAAAAAAAGCTGGAGCAGGATTGTGCAAAGCCTGAAGTTGTAAAGATCGAACCTCCTCTCTTTTGTGTTTAACCCTCTCTGAAATATCTGAGAAAGAGTGCTTGTTGAGCTTGCGTAGTTCCGTCTTGAGCAAATACAACTTCTGCTTCACAACAAAGAAACCCCTTCCAGAAACCTTTTGCTTCCATGTGTCTTAAAGAATATCGTGATAAGAATCAATGTTGTTCCCACATATCAAAATATCTAAATGGGTTGGGGAATTTCCTTACAGGAACCTTAGGTATAACCAGCATTCCACAATGATCAGAGAAGTCAAGAGCAAGGAATCTAGCAACACATTCTGGAAAGATATCAAACCATTCAACATTTACCAGAATTATATCCAACTTCTTAGCAATTGGATTGGCCTGCTGTTGATTAGCCCAAGTAAAGACCGGACCAGTAGTTGTGTGATCCACAATTTCCATTTTATCAACCCATGCACGAAAATCAGTCATGCTGTTACTGATTGATACCTCATTAGAAGATTCAGATGGAGTGAGAATAGCATTGAAATCCCCACAGATGAGCCAAGGAGCACCTTAGATCTTCCACTTGCTCAGCTCTTTGTAAGTCACGAGCCTCTCCTTTTCATCATTGGATCCATATATTGCTATGAAAAAGAATTTCTCACCCTCCCTTGTTGAAACTGCAGTGCGAATCAAGTGTGTCTCTTCTGCTAGAACACTTAAAGTGATATCATCATTCCAACTAATCCAAATTCTCCCCAACGGATGCTTAGAGTAGTTATCTGCAAACTGAAGATCAGGGAACTTCCGTCTTATATCATTCACCTTCTTAGGATCTTTAACTCTGGTTTCCAGTAAAACAAGCAAAAAAATCTGACGGGTACTAATGTATCGAAGCATATCATTATGCTTCGAGAGGTTGTTGAAGCCCCTTATATTCCAAATGAGGATTGTCATTTGCGAAGAGCAGCCACCTTTAAAGGCTTCCCCTCTTTTTCTTAACCCCTCCTTGCCTGTCTTCTTTGGTGGAGGCGCCTGCAAACAAATGTCCCTCGATCCACACAAAACATCAAAAGCATTGGAGTGTAAAATGGGGATCAAACTCTTTTTTGCTGATCGAGACTTGACACCATTGACGACCTTGTTAAACTCCTCCTGTGAAGGTAAAGCGCTTGGGGTAACAGGAGTAGGTAAGCTTGCTATTACCTTCTGAGTCTCCAGACTATCAACAACAATGGCTTTACCCTTCAGTTCTGCTCGCAAGTCTTGAGTTTCCTCTGGTTCCTGGATTTGAGGCGTGGATCCATTAGCAGACTCAATAGGGATAACCAACGGAGTCTTCTTCCTCCAGACCTTCTTGGTGTTAACCCCAGGTGGAGGAAGAGAGCAGTCATGCCCAAAAACCCCACAGTGAGCACAACAACTCGGTAAGCCACAGTACTCGACATTGATAAACATTTCCTTCATGTTGTCCGGAGTGATGCTAATCCTGTCTACCCGTGGTTTCTTCGCCTGAATCTCAACACAAATTCGGACAATACCAAATTTTTCCCTACGAGCAGTGGAATGATCCATACATAGTGGTCTACCTAGAGAACTAGCAATTCTACCCAACCCCTCCCTAGAAGCTAGCTCGGTCGTAAGACCTGAGAGCTTTATCCAAGCTGGAATAGCCGAATTATCGATCTCCATCGCCTAAATACCTGGTTCCCAACGCCTGAGACAAATAATCTTGTCCTTGTAGTGCCAAGGACCTCCCTCAAAAACCCATCGACACACCGATTCAGATGGAAAATGGAATAGAACAAGGTGGTCCTCTAGCAGGGAAACTTTTACCTCTCCTTCCTTGCCCCAAATCCAGTTTGCCCAAAACCTTAGAGTCGAGACTGACGGTGGATTGGCCAAAAATTGACCAACAAGAGGGGTGGAAATCGGTAAGGTATCGGTATCCCAATACCAAATACCGAAATCCCGAATACCGAATTACACCCTAAACTCAATCCCAATCCCAATCCCAAAATAATTCCGGTATCCCAATCCCAATCCCTAAATATTTTGGTATCCCAATCGGTACTTCGGTATCCCAATCGGTATTATTGAATACAAATTTAATTATCTTGACAATTAATAATTACATATATAAATTAGATTTGATTGTTTAATTTAGGGCAAAGAGACTAAACGAATAGCCTTGAGTTTGGCATGAGCTAGGATGCGGATAAGGAGAATGGAGGAGAGGTGACATCTCAAATTTTTGCCATAGATAATCTTTAATTTGACGAATTGGAGTCTGAGAGACGACTAATACTAGTGTTTGTCTTTTGGTGTAATGAAAATAACAAAATATTAGGCGAGAGACGAGAGTGACTTAAACTAGAAAGTCAAAATTGAGTTGGATATAGACTTATAAGTTGTGAAAGAGTAAGGAATGATCAAATGCTGTATGCTATATTTCATTAAATTTTCAATTTTCGGTATTTTTTCGGTATTTCGGTATATACCGATCCCAATCCCGTAATCCCGAATACCGAATAGCACTCCAAAATGAATCCCAATCCCAATCCCTAAAAAATAAGTCGGTATTCGGTAATACCAAATAGTGATAAATTCGGTACGGTATTCGGTATATCCCAAATACCGGTACCAAACTTCCAGCCCTTACAAGACTATGCTCCCATCGTTTTTGCCCTTCCTCAATGACTGATATAGGGATACGAAGTGAGCCGTTAATGAATTCGGGCTCGAAGTAGTCAAGCCTGGTCTCCTCCACTACGTGAAAGAGTGATGCTCAGGACCTGCCGCCGCCAACGGCGCCCGGCGAGGCCCCATCGGCGACGGCAGTCATCGCGAGGGGAGAAGAAGAATCAGAGCAGATTGAGAAGAGAGAGAATTTTAAACCATAATAAGATTCTTTTTGATTCTTTTTATTGTTTAGAATTTTTAGAGCCAAACATTTACTGATTTTTCTGAAAAGTACTTATTTAAAAGCTCCGGCCAGAAACTATTTCGGCAAAAATACCGCCAAACTAAGCCTTGTGAAATTCAAACTCTTCACAGTTTTCACATTGAGTTAAGGCAACAAGAGACCCAACAGTCAGGGAGACCGCCGGCGACCGGCCGGAGGCGGAGTCAGAATCAGAAACAAAGCCAAATACCAAGCAACCCTTTTCCCCCGAGAAGATGCACGTTCAGAAATTAGCAGAATGAGGGAATTATTCTGAGTTTTACTCCTGTCCAAGACCAAACCAGGATTCCTCGTGATTCCCCCAAATTGTTTATTCGCAGACAAAGACAGAGCAACAAACAGAGAATTCACGGCTAAGGGTTGTCAATTCCAGCCAGCGGCCAAAGATTACGTACTACAGAAGATGACCATGACGGGAAAATCTTGCCCATAACGACGAGGTATTCTGGTTAATCATTTCTGTTCTTTTGCATAGAAACTTGACCAATCCCTGATGATGGAAGAGTATAATATGTAGCCAATTCCATCGTCACGTCGTCACTTGTGGCTTTTAGCATAGAACTCGTCGCCTTTTTCTTGTAGACTATACCATTGTCCTTTACCCATAAGATTGGAACAAACCATCGTTTGCAGTATGGAAAACCAAGTAACCAACCAAGGCAATTATCGAAAATCATAGCCTCAGCAAGTTGTTCAAGACAATGACTTCTTGATTCGTTAGCTACCGAGCCCCACTCACTCAAACTCTTGCACATAATTGCAGCTGGCAGCTTCTATATATCGTCAACCTGCAAGTGTGACTTCTTGGCAATTAACGGTTTAACAATTCCCTTGTAGAAAATATCTTGTGTCTATCTATACATATACATTGGTTGATGGCTGATGACGCCGTCTGGACAAAACCAAGAGAAACCAGATTAAAATATACAGAAAAGATGGGAGATTTATCTGAGAGTGTAGTTACTCACTCTGAGATTCATGATGTAAATAATAGCGTTGATGCTCATCGAATGGGTAAGGATTAGAGATTGTTTTAGCTGGTAAAATTTGTGTTCCTGGGTAGCCGGCCATGGCCAGTGACAAAAGGTGTTAATGTGTTTTTCTTATGTTTGCAGGAGAAGGAAAAGAAGAGGAAGAATTAGTGGATGACCATCCGATTGAGGAAGTGAGGCTAACAGTTCCAATCACCGACGATCCAACCCTACCAGTATTGACATTCCGAACATGGGTTCTGGGGCTCGCTTCATGTGTGTTTCTGTCTGTGTTGAACCAGTTCTTTGGCTTCCGTTACAATGGTCTTGGCGTTGGAGCTATTTCAGCACAGATTCTGGTCTTGCCACTTGGAAAGTTGATGGCTGCCTCTCTTCCAAGAACAAAATTCAGGGTTCCTTTCACAAACTGTTCGTTTTCACTGAATCCAGGGCCATTCAATCTCAAAGAACATGTGCTGATCACCATATTCGCCAACTGTGGAGCTGATGGAACTTACGCCCTCTTCATCATTACTGCTATTAGGGCCTTCTACCACAGAGGCATCCATATTGTTGCAGCACTGTTACTGGTTCAAACCACTCAGGTCAGTAGCTCTTGATATGCTGTTTGTTTCGGCCAGTAGAAAATTAAGAATGTATGAAAATATCTTGATTTTCATTTTGTGTTGAAAATTTTCAGCTGCTTGGATATGGATGGGCTGGACTGTTCAGGAGAATTTTGGTGGATTCACCTCATATGTGGTGGCCTGGAAATATGCCCCAAGTCTCACTATTCAGGTACTCTTTGAATCTTAAATTGTCTGCTCAAGGCAATGAATTGGGTTGGGACTCTCTTGTAATATCTTTTGTTTACTTTCAAATTCAAGGGCATTGCATGAAAAGGAGAAGAGACCAGCAGGAGGACAGACGCGGCTGCAATTTTTCACCCTTGCTTGTGTATCAAGCTTCGCTTACTACATAGTTCCTGGCTACTTATTCCCTTCCATATCAGCACTTTCATTTGTGTGTTGGATATGGAAGGACTCGATCACTGCTCAACAGCTTGGTTCAGGGTTGAATGGGCTTGGAATTGGCTCGTTTGGTTTGGACTGGTCCACTGTTGCTGGGTTTGTGGGAAGTCCTCTAGCCACACCATTGTTTGCCATTCTCAATACCATGGCTGGTTTCTTCATCTTCGTTTATGTGATTTTGCCGATAGCTTACTACAACAATGCATATGAAGCGAGGAGATTCCCCATGCTTTCACAACAGACTTTTGACAGTTCAGGTCAACCTTACAACATCACGAGGATTCTCAACGAGAAAGAGTTTGACATCAATCTTGGTGAATATAATAGATACAGCAAGCTCTATCTCAGCTTCACTTTTGCTTTCAACTATGGAATCAGTTTTGCTGCTCTAATGGCGACTTTCACACATGTTGCACTTTTCGACGGAAAGTAATTAATCATCCATCAGCCTGAAAATCTGTACTTCTTTTCTTGAATTGAAAAATTACCCTTGTAACTTCTGCACTCTCATGATGCTGTTGTTTGAATCTATTGGCTCACAGATCAATTTGGGAGCAGTGGCAAAGGGCTTCAAGTGGAATGAAAGAGCATTTTGCTGACATCCATACAAGAACGATGAAAAAGAACTATGAAGCCGTTCCTCAATGGTGGTTTTTGGTGATTAGTGTTGTATCGCTAGCACTTTCTTTCGTAGCCATTGAAGGATTTAACAAACAACTGCAGCTTCCATGGTGGGGACTCATTATGGCATGTAGCATCGCCTTAGTTGTCACGTTGCCCGTTGGGATAATTGTGGCCACCGCGAATCAGGTTTCTTCTACACAAAGCAATATTGTTTTATCTCGTGGTCCTTTCTGACTAGCAGCTGATGTGACAGACAAAACTACTTCTGTTCTCTAATTTTGTAGGGAGTTGGATTAAACGTACTGACAGAGTTGATTATTGGATACCTATATCCTGGAAGGCCTCTTGCTAATGTGACCTTCAAGACCTATGGCACCATTAGCATGGGACAAGCTCTGAATTTTCTCTCAGACTTCAAACTAGGACATTATATGAAAATCCCTCCTAAATCCATGTTCGTCGTTCAGGTAATGGAATAGCTTGTTTAACAATTTGCCCTGTTTTTACCTAGACTGAGATTGAAATTTCCTTGAGATCTTTTCTTGCTGTCAAATTAATCACAGTTAGTAGGTACCGTAGTTGCCACGACAGTCCAATTTGCAACAACATGGTGGATCCTGGGTAGCATTAAGAACATATGCGATCCAAAGAAGCTACCAGAGGGAAGTCCATGGACATGTCCTGGATACGATGTCTTCTACAGCGCTTCGATCATCTGGGGAGTGGTAGGCCCGCTCAGGATTTTCAACGATCTTGGAGTGTACCCTCAAATGAACTGGTTCTTCCTATTTGGGGCGCTTGCTCCAGTTCCGATATGGCTGCTGTCGCGTAAGTACCCTGAGAAGAAGTGGATCAGGCTAATCTACATGCCGGTTTTCATTTCTGGTATGGGCGGGTTACTTCCTGCAAAGCCAATTCACTTCCTGTCATGGGGTGCTGTTGGAGTTTTCTTCAACTACTACATATACAGGAAGTTCAAAGGATGGTGGGCTAGGCACACTTACATTCTGTCAGCTGCTCTTGATGTCGGGATCGCTCTGTTGGGTTTGTTGCTGTACATTGCGCTTCAGAGCAAGGAAATCTATGGGCCGCAATGGTGGGGTCTCGAAGCCGACGATCATTGCCCGTTGGCGAAATGTCCAACGGTTCCTGGTATTGATGTTCAGGGGTGCCCTAAGATTCACTGATGAGCATGCTTATTTATTTGAATGATAGAGCTCTTGTGAATTGTGATGATGAAGTATGCAATTGTAGATTTGAGTTTCAGCAAGCAAAGAGAATGGAGGTTCGTCTTAGAGATAAGAAACTGGGACTACTACATGTGAAGAAGTAAAGTTTATAAAAAATAGTTGGCCAAAATGTCACAACTAGCTAGAATTGTGAAATGTGTGGAATTCTCTGGAGGTTGTATTAAGGTAGTGGGGGTAAACGGTGGTGATGTATTAAGGTAGTGGGGGTAAACGGTGGTGATAAAATCAATAGTCAAAAGTGTGTTTCTACGTAGGGTTAATTGCACCATGTGCCACTTAAATTTACTATTTGTTGCAAGTTAACCACTTAGGTGTGTTTTGTTGCAACTAAATCATTTACGTTAACTTCCGGTTGCATAGTTATCATTTCCGTCTCCCAAACTAACGGTAGGTGTCCAGGCGTAATTTTTCATGCCACGCGGGCTGCCACATCAGCGGCTGCAGGGTGAGTCACCTGTGGGCCACCACAATCTTTATGGGTCAACAAAACCCAAAGAATTCCTCTGTGGTGAACATCCCCTTCTCCACACTTGATTCCGACAGTCACCGTCGAGCATCCTTCCCTGCACAGAATAGAAAAATCACCAACGCAATACTTGGCAAGAGGATCGCACAAAGAAGGAAGAAAGATCGACATACGCAGCAAAAAACCCAGGTAAGTGATCTAGACCCCTGTTGTAGTACTATGTTTCTTACTATGTTTCAATGAACTATCTTGAGAACGATTGAGAGATACATCGAACGAAAACCTATGACTATGATTCTCAGAAGGAAATCGGAGATGACAAGAGATAGAAAGCTAATGGAGGAGAAGAAACTCCTGCTGCTTGGGGATTTTTTTTCTCTCTCGAGCATTTTCACCTGCTTTCTCGCGATCACTTACTAGACCCCTGCTGCAGTAATCCCCAATCAGATGTTCTTGTTTGAATGTTGGAGCAATCAAATCCTCCTTAGAACTCTGTGTTTCATTATTTATATGCCTATTGTTATAAATTCTCTGCTTAGTCCATCTGATTTGTTTCATTTTTCTAGAACAATCCTCTAGCTATTATTTGTTTCTGTCATGGTGATAAATGGGCTTGAGCTTAATAATCTACAGATTGACATGACTAGGCTCATAGCTGAAGGGGTTTCTACTACCATAAGCGTGCTTGCATGGAAAGCTCGAGAAGCAAGTGAGGCATATATCCCTTTTGTATCTAATGTTGGGTCTTCAGAGTAAAACTTTGGTAAAAACAAACCTAATCATACTATTCCGTCAATCAGAGAGACGGCTTGTTTTTTGTTACTCAAGAAAAGCTGGAGGTTTTTAGTTGGAGAATCGAGTTTTTCTAATGCAAAGCTATAAACACGCCTAGTGTGGAGCTCTATTGTGAAGACCCTATATGCACCTACGAATATGGGGGTGTAATTTTAATTCAAGTTTGAGCAGAGCTTTATGTCAATGGTGTGTGAGCGTAGCGTATCTGCTGTCCATTTTCTTGCATTCGCATGTCGATCTTTCTTCCTGCAGATACGCAACGTATCTGCATTCGTATTGGCGAGAGAGAAAGCTAATTTAGTATTGCAACAGGGGTCTAGATCACTTACCATGTAGGATAAATCACCAATGTATCTGCATTCATTGGAACAGAGTAAGAAACGGAGTACTGAAACAGGGTTTTAGATCACTTACCTATGTTTTTAGCTGCGTATCTCGATCTTTCTTCCTTCTTCGTGCAATCGTCTCGCCAAGTATTGCGTTGGTGATTTATCTGTTTTATGCAGGGAACGATGCTCGACAGTTGGCTTCCGGAATCTAGTGTGGAGAAGGAAGTTCACCTCACATGAATTCTTTGGGTTTTGTGGGCCCATAAAGATTGTGGTGGCCCACAGGTGACTCATCCCGCAGTCGCTGATGTGGCAGCCCGCGTGGCATGGAAAATTACGTTTAGATACCTACCGTTAGTTTGGGGGACGGAAATGGTAACTATGCAACCGAAAGTTAACGTAAATGGTTTAGTTGCAACAAAATGCACCTAGGTGGTTAACTTGCAACAAATAGTAAACTTAAGTGGCACATGGTGCAATTAACCATTTCTACGTATAAGTGTTTTGGTGATTTATAAATGTAAAATCGTAAGCTTTTAACCTTTAAAGGGCAGTTTTTAACTACATTAGGTATAAAACTGTGATTATGCGTAAAACCGTTTTGGTGACCTAAAAGCGTAAAAACGCAAGTTTTTACGGTTTAAATAGCTATTTTGACTATATTGAGCCGATGACAGTGGTTGTAACCAAGAGAGAGCAAGCGACTAGGGTTTGGAGAGATTCTTTCATGTTGAGGCCTGTTGAGGCCTGCTTCTAGGCCGATTGTGTATAGTCCTTAGACCCTTTTTGTTTAGTTTCTCTCTAGTCCTTGTGTATTTGTGTATGTATCTTTCCACTGGACTTGCCCATTTGCCTACTTAATAGATTCCTTAAAAAAAAACTTCATGCCAAAATTTCACTTTACTAATCTCAAAGTGTTCCATGACAATTGACCTACACAACTCCTAATTGCCCCCCTTTAATGGGCTCAACTCCTTGGACTTGATTCTATACCCAATGAAGTAATCATCATTAAGTGATGGTTTGCTTGAGTCATTTGAATGAGTCAATGCATGAATTGTATGGTTCATACGAAAGTCTCAAATTACTCTATTGAGTCATTTCCAAATGCCTTCTATTTATTTATTTATTTATTTATTTATTATCCAATCTTTCCAATTATGTCATTGTCACTTTTGATAAACTCACTTTTGTCCTTGTCTTTCTATTACTTATTTCCCCTATCATTTTTTCGTCTATCACCGAGTTTTTTTCTGCCAAATTTCACAAGTAGCGAGGAGGGTCATCCATCTTATCATCTCCATAACTTTCTCGTGAATCTAGCTTCTCGTATCATCGAAGTTGCCGCCTTCAATAATGAATCGTAATTAGCTCGAATGTGAGACTTCTGAAGCCGTTACCTTTTACAAATAAATTTAACACAAACATATTTTTTTCAAAATTAGAAATTATCATACATGACTCATACTATATGTTTTGTTGGTTGCAAAACGATTATTTTTACTAGAATAACCATTCATTCCACTTAGATAAACTCTATTTCCGCCACCAAGAAGGGTATTGAAACAAAAAAATGATTTGCTATGTTGTGGTTTTATGAGCATAGGAAACAAGATAGTGAAATATTAAATGTAAGAACAAAGTTGTAACATTATAAAAATGACACATTTACGAGTGCTTCATCTAAAAACTGTTAACCAAACATTACATTTGCAAATATCTATATTCACAAATATCTACATTGCTCAAATGTCTATATTTAAACAGATAATTAATTTTGTAAATTACTCATGCAAACCACCTTAAACGTCTTAAGAATACAAAAATGGTTTGTAGTTGTTGACACCTAAAATTAATTTGGCCTGAATTAAATGCCGCATTAATTTGCCCGGGCATTGTTGGAAAAGGAGTTTTTATTATTATTTTTTTTATTTTTATTCCTTGTCGGAAGGGAGAAGCAGTACCGCATGGAGACAAGCGGCATCGCGGAGAATTAAAACGTACTGCGGATTTAAAAACGATGCCGCGAGAGCCTTGATAAGTGGTACCGATTAATTAAAAACCATATCGGGTAAGTGATTGGCCCAAAAATCCGCCCAGCCCAAACGTGCAAAATCGCGGCAAATATAATACGTTGGTGTTTCTTTTTATTATGCTAGGCGGTGTGGTTTAATTCAAAACGGTACCGCGAGTAGGCCCAACGGTACCGCTGTGCTAGCAAATGACAGTGTTTAAAATAAATAAACAATGTCGCGAGGAAAAGCAAACGGAGCCGTTTTGGCGTTAATGATGTCGTTGGTCAACACACAAGTTTGACTAGTAATGGTCGGATTAATTGATTAATATTTTTAATGATTATTTAGGACGGTGTCGTTTAGTTGAAAACGATGCCGCAAGAGGTATCAACAACACCGCGGATAAGAAAAGGACAATGTTTAATAAAAAACAATGTCGTGAAAGGAAAAGCAAACGAAGCCGTTTTGGGGAAGGAAACGATACCGCGAGCAAGCCCAACGGCACCGCAAGACGAGAAAAACGTTACCGTTTGGTAGAGAACAATGTCGCGGAATGGAAAACGATATTGTTTGATGGGATCGGCATCGATTAGTGAAAAGCGATGCCGCGGTATTGGTGAGCGACGTCGTGTGACTAAAAACAATGTCACGAGGTTGGTGATTTCGTCATGGATGATGGGAACGACGTTATGAGCGAAGGAGGTTTATTTGCTCAGTTTATGGGGGTGAAACGACATCGTTACATGGACAAGGTTGTAGGATTTGGCTCAACGTCGTTTTGCCAAGTTTTTGCATAGCGGAAAGGTTTCGAGTGCACGTGATTATCATGCAACAAAGAGGAAGTTACCCGCGCGGTTGACAAGAATGAAGACGTGGGAGACAAAGGCGCGAAGGTGGTTACCACGACTAATGGCAAAAGATTGCAGTATAAACATCAGGAAGAGAGAGAAGCTCGTGACGGCAAAATCAAATCACAAACTGCACCGTCGCAGAATCTATCTTTTTCTCTCTAGTTTCGTAGAACCACTCTGTCAGAGAAATCCTTTGCAGAGTCGTAGTCGTAGCTTGTAGTCGTAGTCGCGGAGCTCTCCAGAGGAACCTCCATAGGAGTAGAGGTAACGTAACTTAGAACACTCTTGGTTTGATTTTCTGGTTATTCGCTGAACACCCTCGTTCGAACGTAATTTGGAGAGGTGGTGAACCGAGTAACGGTTGTTTGATTAGAAGTCAAAGGTGTATCGATCAAATCAACATTGCCGACGCCGGTGGTGGATATTTGACGGTCGTCTTGGTTTCTGTTCGATCGATCAAATCAACGGCGCCGACATTCGGCGGTGAATATTTGACGGTTGTGATTGACTTTGTGTTTTGCGTTTGCTTGAAAACAGTGCGCATTGTACACGCGAGTTTCGCCAACGAAACAGTAGTATTGTCACTTATGGTAGCCTTGCTGCCCTATGACATAATCAAAATTCTTTGTACCTCTGTTTTAGGCAGTTGGCGGCCGGCCGGGAGAATTACATAAATGGTCACTCGAACATCTATTTGCATCAATCACGTACTTCTCTCTTTTATAAGTGGTTAGTACGCTAGTTCGTTTAATTAGGTAATGAAACTCGGAAGAAGTCTATAATTTTTAGCTATGATTTGATTATATTTTATTGCTACATTATTTTGAGATTATCTTCGAATCGTCGCAACAGCAAGATCACTCTTCAAACAGCTTGCAAACATGACCCTCATTTCTTATCTTTTCTTTTCGAAGCATTCCCTCCCCCACAATTATACTGTACTCTACTCCTTTGGTTTGCCAAGGGATGGAGACTTCACATGCTTATCTGATTTCTTCACTGTGAAAATTATATATAACACAAAAAGGAAATAAAAACGTAAGCATATAATGTATTGGAAACCACGTATTTCATGCATTAATTGTAAATATGTCAAACCAAAGCACTTCCGTGATTTAAAAAAAACACCCACCGGTAATGGTTCCGTTAATCGTCGGTGAGCTATCCGCTATCCGGTACCGTATCATCTTGCGGGTCGCAACAGGCGACGCACCAGAGTAAGAAATTACGTTCACAGCAACCCAGGTACACACAAGCAAGAAGTATTGTTGGTGTTGGCGGCATTTCTGTAAAAGAGATCGATGCAAAAAAGTACATATGAATCGGTAATTACAATATAACACAAATCGTTATGACGAAGGGAGGGAGGGAGGGAGAGAGAGAATCATAATTTTTAATGACCATGGTTAATGTGAAATTTGAGAAA